GAGGATGATCATGGCCGCTTTCCCTCTCTTAAGCCAAGTTGTTTCCTTCTCCGTTCCTCCCTGCGTGTCCTAGGATGCAGAGGGGATGGGCCCAATTCTTCCTCTGACTGCCCAGCTGGCCTCTGCCTTTCCCCAGCCTCCTCCACAACCTCCGGAGCCAGACTTCCACTCCCTGTTAGCTGTTCCTCCTCTCCCTTAGAATCTGACTCTACCAAGGGCATGAGACCATGCTTGATGGCCAATGAGAGTCATTTGCTTTAATACTGAAAGTCATTACTACCAAATCCCCAGTCTCCTGCTGCTTATTATATGTCTATGTGAAAAGGATTGAATTCTCAGGGATAAGAGGACATAGATATTCAAAGGGAGCAGTGAATTTTGTAGAAGTGTAGGATGAAAATGAAATATCCTAGGAAATATTAAAAAGGCAGAATATTTCCCCTAAAAGGGAAGTAGAAACTCAGAGGGGCAGAAGCTCACCCCCCACCTTTGTTAATGGGTGGGCCATTATTCTACATAACAAAGGCCTCTACCCATCTCACCACCTGGCCTGGGAAGATTGCGTCAGCCAGCACTCAGGTGAAGCCATGTGGTCTAGACAAAGCCTACAAAGTTAGCTAAGACTCCCACCCCTGGGAGTCTGACAGCCAATGGGATACATTTCTTACACAGGAACAGGAAACACTAAGGTGGGACCCAACAACTAAGGGTCTCTCAGCATCTTGGCCCTTCTTTTCCTTCATCCAACATCTTGAAGCATGTGATCGTCCTTTTCACTCTGGGGCTCCAGGCCATGTGGTCCTGTCCACCATTAAGCCATCTTTCCAAACAGCCTCCATGTTTCCAGTGTCTTTTTCCCCACTTGGAACTGAACCCAGAAGGATATTTCTTCCAACAGAAGTACAGTATTCTTGTGGATTTCAGACCACATGTTCGTCTACTTGAAGAATGGAACATCAGAAGATGTTCTGGTATTCATCTTTTGTTATTTAAGGAATGTAGAAAGAAAGGAAAGGAGACAGATAGACGTGTTGAGCAACTCAAACTCAGTTACTGTTCTGTCGCGGGAAAGATCTGACTCGAGACCAGTGTGAATTCAAGCTCTTTATTTGTAACCAGTAACTTCAACAAAACCAGCAGCCTCTTTTATAGCAGCTGCTCACAGCTCGCGGCCAATGACAGTTCCTTAAACTTCCCACCATCAGGCGGACCATTCGCAACTGTCTTTAAGTAGCCAATCAATAGGCGGCAATAGCGATCCAATCGGAACGTAGTATTTCAAGTATGTAAATGACTATATACAACAGTTACAAACAGGAAGTTCAATTTGTCGGTTTCAGAAGGGTTTAAAAGTTTCGTCAGTAACAGTTTCCGGCCAGCCCCTACCTACCCAGTTCAAAATCCGCGCCATCTGTGTGTCTTTTGCTGTTTCTTTCGCGATGTCTGATGCGGTGATGGGAAGGTTCAGTAAGGTCTCAATTTGTAGAGTGGTCGTGGTAGGTGCCAGGTCATAATCCAGTTCTGGTAGGGGTGACTGGTCAAGGTGTCCGCATGGGGTATGTCCTTTCCTGGTCGGTGGATTAGTTTGTAATTGTATGCGACGAGGAACTCTGACCACCTTGTCATCCGTGGTGACAGGATGTTGGGGGTGGCCTTGTTCCCCGCGAGTATTCCCAATAATGGCTTGTGGTCTGTGATTAGAGAGAATGTCCTACCGTAAAGGTATTCGTGAAATCGTTTGACCCCCGTTATTGCGGCTAGAGCTTCTCTGTCCAGTTGGCTGTAATTTCTTTCAGCTTTTGACAGCGTTTTGGAATAGAAGGCGATCGGTGCCTCTCTGCCGTTGGGTAATGTGTGGCTGAGTATGGCGCCGACGCCGAATGGAGATGCATCACAGGTGACTGTTAGTGGCAGGGTGTCACTATATTGAATTAACTCAGATTCGGATGTCAGTAAGTCTTTTTTAAAAAAAAAAGTTTTATTGGTTTTTAAGGACAAACAAAAGCAAACAAAACATAAAAACATCCAACTTTCTTTCATAAATGTACAAACAGTGTGTCAGTTGGTTTACAAATTTTTTGTGCATCCATTTCATAGTCTCAATTACAGTTACATTGCATAATAACTCATATTATCAACAAAACCGGAGCCGCGGCAGCCTCTTTTATAGCAGCTGCTCACAGCTTGCGGCCAATGACAGTTCCTTAAACTTCCCACTATCAGGCGGACCATTCGCAACTGTCTTTAAGTAGCCAATCAATAGGCGGCAATAGCGATCCAATCGGAACGTAGTATTTCAAGTATGTAAATGACTATATACAACAGTTACAAACAGAAAGCAGCATTATTTAGACAGCCTCATAAAATTACATGAATGAAGCATGACAATTGAATATTTCACATGGACTTAGCACAAGTTATAATAATGTTTTATGATCTCCCATGTTCTTTTTACCCTTTTTCTTATTTTTTTGTTACTTCAGAAAATCCAGAAAAGAATGAGACATTTTTTTATTTCAGCTAATTCAGTTTAGATCTCAATTAGCTTCAGATAAAAAACATGCCCCCATAAGCCCAGTGGGAAGGGTCATCACTAGCAAAATGAAAGACATTTTGAGGCTGTCTATTCCTTAGCTTGCATTTTCATTCTGTGTCATAGAAGGATATACATGCACAGCCTTTTCAGTGCTTTGCTTTTTTTTTCTTGCCTGCCAAATCTTCTGTAATGAAAATAACTAGTGAAATCAATGTATGGTTCTGCTTCTTTCTGTAAATCCTCAAGTGGGTTTTGTTGTCCTTCTTCCCTAGGATGAATCAATGGTCTTTACCACACCCATGTTAATTAGTTATTTAACAGGGCAATTTCACTATTGTCATTCTTCCTTTTTATTCCTAATTATCCAATTAGGAGAAAATGACACAAAAGATACAGCTTTATGCATTACAACTGGGAGAAGGATTTTGTAAATTACTAATTTTCAAACTAACAAGGAGAAAAATTGAGTCGACTAGTTCATCTACTCTACTATGTATGCTTGTAAACATTCCTGGAAGTGAGAATCTGACCTGAGCAATGATTAGTGAAGCTGATGTCACTATAACAGAGTTTTATTTACATGAAGTGCATTTTAGGGAAAGGCAGAGTCCAACACCTAGCTAGCCACATCCTGCCCAGAGAATGTCAAAGATGAAGAATACATATGTGCTTTATTTGTACATCTGGGAACAAAGGCTGGAGGAAGTGATCTCGTTCCAATCTCTATGACAAAGAGCAACCAAAATAATAGACAGATTAATTATCTATCTCAGGGGCCTCCAACCTTGGCAACTTAAAGCCTGGTGGACTTCAAATCCCAGAATTCCCCAGCCAGCTTGCTTGAATTGAAGTCCACCTGGCTTAAAGTTGCCAAGGTTGGAGGCCCCTGGGAATTCTGGGAGATGAAGTCCGCCAGACTTAAAGTTGCCAAGGTTGGAAGCCCCTGGGAATTCTGGGAGATGAAGTCCACCAGGCTTAAAGTTGCTAAGATTGGAGGCTGCTGCACACCCTATTGCCCCCACCACCCTTGTGCTCAATAGGTCATGAATTTTTGAAAGATCAGTGACACTAAATTCAACTTGTAACACAGAATACTTACCTTGAAATTGATAGGATTATGGAACGTGGAAGATCAAGTTATAATAAGTTCTGAGAGAAGCAGAATGAGAAATTGACTGGAGGTGGCAGTGCTTTTGAGGGAGATGTTGTTAGTTCCTTTTTAAAAGGAGATAATGACAGCTCTGTAGAGATGCGACTTAATTTTTTTAAAAAAAGGCTTTATGATTAAATAAATTCAAAATACATGGGATCTTGCAAGAACCTGAAAAAGATGGAGATTTCTTACTCAACCTTTAACGGTATCCCTTTTCATTTAAAGAATTTATATTTTTATATCTTATTTTGAACTAATTCCTTTTAAATAGACTTTGCTTCTTAGCCTTGAAACTTTCTCTGGACTAACAATGTTTGTTACCACTTTTCCTAGAGAGAAAGCATTAACCACTGGTCATCATTATTGTTGAATAAGAGATAGAGTAATGTAGATTTTTGTGATATCGTTACACAAATAATGTAATTTGGCATCATTTGCACTGTTATGAGTCATTTCTATGATTATATCATACAAGTGACATAAATTTCAGTGAGAATTTTGTCAATGGTGAAGACTATGCTGCAACAAAGATTCACTCTAAGGCGAATGGAGTGGGATGGGGTTGAAAAATGTGTGTGATAAAAGAAATGAATGAGTGTTGAATGAATATGGGTTGAATGCAAAAGTGACAATTAGTATGAAAAAAAATAAATTGAATTATTTGATCATATAGAAAGAAGTACATTGAATTATTTGATCATACAGAATGTAGGAATGAGGGTCGAATTGCAAAATAAATACATGAAAGAAGAGTGAATGGGTTGGGAGGGGAAGAAGAGTGAGAAAATCATGGTTGGATGAAATTGATCAGATCCTCAAAAAGAGAGCAGTGGAAATTTTCAAGAATAAAAGACAAAGAAGTGGTGTACAGATATGGTAGAAGCAAAGATGATTTGCAAGTATAGAAAGGTTCAGAAAGTACAGCAAGGATGTTCGTGTAAACTAATCCTAATTTGATTTCCCTGTTTTTCTTCTTACTGCTTCAGAGAGCTGAAGAATCTTCTTGGATGAGAAGCGAAACGTCTTCAAAGAAAAACCAGAAAGTCCAGTTGTCTCTTGAAAAAGCACCTTTTGGACTGCCTACTTTTCTTTTCTTTTTTTCTTTTTTCTTTCCTCTTCTCTCTCTCTTTTGCAATTTTCATTAAGTTGCTTATTCTGAAAGGGAATAGTGTGATTGATATGTATCTATGTGAGGTAAGGAGGGGAAAAAAACAAGAAATGTCAAGTTCTCCCCTTCAATACATTATTTTGCTTGCAAAAGAGGAAGGTGGTTTCTTTCTTTGGTTTGGTTTTCTCTGCTTCTTCCCTCAGTTCTTGTCATCTATAGGTTAGATGACATCTGTAAAAGATTCATGCGAAAGGAAAGAACAGAGAAGAAATAGAGAGACGGAAGCAAGGTAAGGGCAAAGTTTTACTCTTTAGCAACATACACTAATTCATTTACTTGATTTTTATTTTAAATACATATTTTAAAAAAATTTAAATAAATACATATTTATGTTGCCACCTCAAACAGTTTTTCTTAGGTCTGCTAACAAATATTTAAAATCCATATCTTAAAAATGCCTTAAAAATATAATGTGCTATCTGATATTTAGTGCAGCTCCACTTTATCCTCAAACTAGTGTGAATCCATCTTCAACCTCCTATTTGCTTATAATTTTTTTCTCTTTTAAAAGTAGGTTACACTTCATAATGGAAGTTGCTGGACTATGTTAGTATAATTTTTTTATGATAATTTCTTTTTTTTACTAGAATTTGGGGACCTATTTTTCACCTGTCTCGGTTCAGACTATTAGTACATACTAATTCTTATTTCTGTGATCCAGTTTCCTGTGGTGCTCAGAAACCGAGGGAGAGAGAAATTTGAATTATCTTATGTATCGGAAGTAATTTTTTCTTTATCTTTACAAAAGCATCCCAGAGTCAGACATAAAACGTCCCTTTCCTAACATTTACTTTCTAAAAGGCACAAAATAGAAACAGAAGGTTTGGAAACAGAAAAAGACATGATGATACCGATAGTTGTTTATGGCGTTGTCCAGATCAGTAGGAGTATCCGTATTACCTCTCAGAGTTAGTTCTTCTATCTATTCATTGACTGGTATGCCTTTTTTAAAATACTGATCTCTTCCTCTCTTTTTCCTATTATTCGTCTTCTCTTTTGTTTTCCTTTTCATCTCTTAAGCCCTTATCTGCTTCTTTAACCATTCCCCTCAGGGCATAGTAGCTTTTCCAAAATGGCTTTCAGAATAGATATTACCATGTGGAGTTGGTAATGGCAGCTCACGGAACCATTTTTTGCTTCTATTTTCTGTTCAAGATGATTGGACTTGCCATCTCCCTGCCCTACCTCCAAGCACTCATCTGGAAAGCTAAATAATTTGGACACTTTAAAAAAAACAACCAAGAATAACTCTTCCGATAAACAAATAGAGGCTGGAAACATAGAGTTTAGGGTGAAATGTGCTTCTCCTACCCACTTCCCCCAAACTCCATGTTATCTAATATAGATAGATATAATATAATAATATATAATATTATATATAGATACAGACATAGATATATAGATATAGATAGATATAGATAGATATATAGATATATATTATAGATATAAGTCATTTTGGTCTGTCTTGTCCTTTACTCCATCTCTGAAAAATGAGACTAATATTTATCCAAGCTTACATTGATTTATTGATCAAACAGAACCATTGTTCTCCTCCACCTCATGCACCTTTCCTTCATTCAGAAGAGAAGATTTCTCCAATAGTATATTTCAAATTCTGGGTTATCCCTTTATGCAAAATCTATCTTTGGAGAACCAGAGAGAGACCCTCTTATTAGAGAATCCTTGAATAACTAGGAAGTATTTCCATGTAGAATCTGCTGAAATGAGAAGGAACGGGACAAGAGCATATAGCTTTTCATTTAGCTTGTAATTTGGAGGGGTTTCAGCAGAGCTCTGTATTGATGACTTGCTTGTATAAATTGCAATAGAACACTATCCTTAAAGACACCTGCTCAGTTGCCAGAGGCAGCCAATTTTGTAAATAAATAATAACTAAAAGTATACTGAAGCTGAAAGTAGTTCAAAATTATATTTTGATACTTATTTTTTTTTAATGGGTCCCTGTCCAATAGCAGTTGCAGACCATAAAAGTGTCAGTCAGGAGCTTCGTTGCACCTGGGCCAACTCACCCAAGATTGCTACTATAGAACCCTGCAGAAGAAAAATTGCTAAAATGGTCTGAATTATTCAGGGAGGAGACTCTCCCTCACCCCATTACTCTGAGATATTTGCAAATGTTTCATAGGGTCCAGTTCTGGGCTAACTTTCTCTTTTAGGCAGGTGGATAGATTTTCCATCAGATCTCTTCCTGCTAAGATTGGGGTGTGTGTGTGTAGGGGAGGGGGGGGGGGAGATCCTACATCCAGCCCATTCAGGACAATGCACAAGTTGGGAGATTACTGAATACATGTAGACAAAAATGTATCTTTTGATTATCAAAATTATTCTGTGGCAGTACAAGAGACCTATACTTGTATATGTACAAGTGATCCTTGACTTACCATAGTTGGTTTAGTGAACATTCAAAGCTACACAGAAAAAATACAGGTAGACCTATGACTGTTTTTCACACTTACGACCATTGCAGCATCACCATGGTCACAGGATCAAAATTGAGATGCTTGGCAACTGACTCATATTTATGACAGCTGCAGTGTCCCGGGGTCATGGGATCACCTTTTGTGACCTTCTGACACCCAAAGTCAATGGGGAAGCCAGATTCACGAACTTAACCGTAGAGATTCACTTAAAAACTGTGCAAGTAAGGTTGTAAAATGGGGCCAAAATTCACTTAACTACACTTAGTAATAGAAATTTTGGGCTTAATTGTGGTCGTAAGTCGAGGGTTACCGGTATTGTCTGCACCATTGTTGTGTCCTTTCAATTGACCTTTTTCATATGTGTCTGTGTGTCTATCATTGAAAGCTTTTACACAATAAAAAGGCAAACAAACAAATATAAAAGTAGAAAATGATAAAAGCCCAAAGGAAAAGTGCTAGAAGAGGTACAGATAAAGAAAGAAAAAGAAAAAACAAAGTTAAACAAGTGGCTTCTTATAGGTGGTCTTATGTTTATGTCTATTCATTCAGCTACCATGCAAAATTATGGCATGCTGGGTAAGGGGGACTTACAACTGGTCTGCAAAGTTGTGGCCCTCCTTACAACTCCTACTTTTTCTCCTCCTATAATCCCACCTACCGACAAACGGCCTATGCTGGCCTTCCCAGTTTCCCCCGATGTCATAAGCTAAGACTATTTGTACAGCAGTTACAGACAAACTTTTACCATTTCTGCCTCTTTAGAATTGCATTATATAGTCACTTTCTTCCCATATTCTATCCTTTTTCATCTGCAAATCTAGAGATTACTAGTTCACTTTTGTCCCTTAGCAAAATGTCCATTAAAAAGTTTTCAATCTTTTATTGTTTTGTCCCCAATCAAACAATTCAGCCATTTCTGCAAGCTCTGTCATCCTCAGAATTAACTCCTCCATTGTGGATCCGAGATGGTTTTCCATCTTAGTGCATATGGGACCTCAGCTGCAATTACCATGTATACAACTAATCATCGACAAGGCCTTTCTAATTGTGTATCCATAAGTCCTACTTAAAAAAATATGGTTTCATCAGAATATTATTTTTGAAATCAGCTGCATTATCGTATGTATAGTATTCTTCAATCTTCTAAGGTCTGGTAGAGCTTAGCTGACATATTTACAAAATGCAAGGATAAAATTAATTGCATGTTTCTCAGATCTGGCAATAAGTCTATGGAGGTGATAGATATAGCGAACCAGATTCTTTGAATAATCTCCAACACTCATAAATCCCAAAAGGTGGACAACTAAATTTGAGCTAATAATTATTTGACTTCTGCCCATTGGTGGATTAGTAGGAAAGGGATGGCCAGTTTATTCCCATTGCTGATGAATGGGAGCGAGTCTTGGTCTGTGTTTATTGGTCTCGGAGTTTGCTGTGTTCTGCTTGATGGGTGTCTCTGATATCTTCTGTCTGTTTTTTGGCTCTTTTTGTATCTTGATTGGCTGGCAGCATTGTGTTACTTTAATGGAGGCCTTTAGTGCAGCTTGGCTTCGGGTAAATGGACGGCTATCATTAGTTAGGAAGCTGGGTTTCATCTGGGTGCCTGGTTGGGGTGTGTTTGAGCTGGAGGTATCAGGGGGGATCTGTTTGTGCCCAGGTGTTTGGCTGGCTTGTGGTGTGGATATTTTTTTGTTTGTGAGTGCAGGCTTCCAAATGATTGACAGCCTGGTGGAATCATCTCTTCTGTTCATGCTTTCTGGTCTTTTTTCAATCTCTATGGCTTCTCTGATGACTCTGTGGCTAGGGTTTTCCATAGTGGCCAGGGTTTTGGTGCCATTGAAGTTGATGCTATGACCTGTAGCTTCCATGTGTTGGACTAGTGAGGAAGTGTGTTCCAGCTTTTTGACTGCATTTTTGTGTTCATCCAGGCGGGTACTTATTCTTCTATTGGTCTGTCCAATGTATGTGGCCGGGCATGATGCACAGGGGACTTCGTATATGCCTTGGTTTTCCAGGTCAATTTTATCTTTGGGGTTGCTAA